CTCGGATTGAGGACTGATCTGGACTTTTTAATTACTCAAGAATGGGAGCTGGAACAGGCATACAAAAGACTGTTCGACATTGCTCAACAGCATGCCCCAGCAACCACAGATGCAGTTTAACTACTCGTCCCAGCAGAAGAGCTGGCAACAGGGCAGAGTGCTGCTATCCTCTGCCCCGCACCCATAGCCCCCCTGAAGCTCCTGGGAGAGATGGTGGCCAACCCCATTTCCTCATCACCAGCTTCAGACGTCGGGGATCTCATAGATTTTAATGCGGAGTAACCGCTGCCCCATCCACTCCCAGCTGAAGGGCTGGCAACAGGGTTCCAGGAAGAGGAGGCAGACAGTTTCTCTCACCAGCGGCTGAGTGAGTTCCAAGGAGAAGAGGTAGCCGACCTCTCTCCCCAGCAGCAGAGTGAGTTTCAGGGAGCTGGTGCAGGTAGCCCCTCTCCCCAACAGCAGGCCGATGCAGTGGAACTACTAGACCCAGCAGGAGATCTGGCATCAGAGCAGAGCGCTGTTGATCTCTGCCCACCACCGGCAACACCTCTGAAGCTCCAGGGAGCCAGGCAGCCCCTCACCCCAACAGCAGGCTGATGCAGAGGAACTAGTGATCCCAGCTGAAGAGCTGGCAACAGGGTTCCAGGGAGAAGAGGTAGTCAACCTCTCTCCCCAGTGGCAGATCAGCAGTCCGGGAGAGGAGGTGGCCGTCCTCCCTCCCCAGCAACAAATTGGGATACAGGAAGAGGAGGTGGTCGTCCATGCTACAGATCAGCGGGTTGCAATATCTCCTCAGCAAGGAAGAAGACAGCGGCGGACATACTCATCCTGAGTACGGGGGTCCGTCACAGTATGTCTTTACTTTTGTTTTCAATAAAAAATGTATATGGTAAAAAAAATATGCTGCATCCTACCACTATTTTCTTGCGCAGACATCACAGGTGAATGAATGGTCCCAAATGGGGTCAGAGACACAAACTGAAAGAAATGTGATGTATTTCCTACTCTAGCCATCAATGAGCTTTCTTTTTTGTGAGTGGGGAAGTGTGCAGTTTTCATTGCTGTTCCAATTAATAAGATCAGGGGAATCCTCCTGTGACAGAGCAATAAAAATTAGATAAAGTATCTAACCCATCCCCAATCTGTCCAATGCCAAAAAATAAAGCTTCTTTGCACTTCTACTAGCCTTTTAAAGAATATACTCAAATTCTTAGACAACCATGTGTCTACTGACACATTCAACAGCACAGTCATATTAGTGTTCCCATCATTAACATGCTTCCTGTCAAACACCACAACAGACGCTGTTACCCACCCCAGTAAGCACAGTTAAAGTGTGTTTTACAACCAAGCTTGTGCATGCATCTCCGTAACTCCGCCCACTGACAATGCTGTTCGTTAGGACCCGCCCCTCCAGTATGTGTACACAAGGCATCTCTAGTCTTCGGCTGGCAGGGTGGGAGTAAACATCTAACTGGCCTGACTGCAGTGACAGGCACTTACATGGTACCTATACAGCGTCACGCTGTGTAGACCCCCTCCAGCGGCGTCGCCCCCCCCCGCTGTGAGGCGCTACAAGTTCATTATCGTTTCACGGCCGCGGCGCCAGGCTTGTGTATGCCCCCTTACCCCGTCCTTCCGTCATCCTAGTGCATGCTGTCCGCACATCTGGATTCCCCGGGACATACGCTCAATGAGACCCCCTATATGTTTTACGTGGGACTGTTCTTTGTCAACGTGCTGACCTTGTATTATGCCTTCCTGATGGAGTACATCGCCCTCAATGTGGGCATCGTCTTCCTGCCTGAGGACATGGATCAGGCTCTGGTGGACCTGGGAGTGCTGTCAGACCCCGCTTCTCTGCTCTACGACGCCGACAACGAGCTGGACGGCTACCTGGAATAACTACAGCCCACAGACTCCAGGGATGGAGACATGGATTGTGTCTTCGCCGCTCTGCAGAAACCGGCTAGTCTTTTTCTAAAGACGTACATACTACAGTGTCTTTGGTGGGTCCAAAATGGCCCCTGTGTTGAAGCTGCGGCTGCTCTGGGGTACAGGATAGCCATCTGGCTGGGTAGACGAGAATCCCGCAGCCCGGCAGATGAATAGTAAGTTCCGGATGCAGGTCTCCACAGTAGTTATCGGATGTCACTGTAAAATACAGGCCACTTAGCTCGGTACTGTGTTGTAACTAACACTGCACTGTCACTAGGTATCATCAGAGATCACTGTCACTTTGGGCCTCTATAGCAGTTATCACTATCAATCAGGGCCCCCATGCAGAGATTCTGGTCACATAATGATCCCATAGCAAAGATCATTGTCACTCAAGAACCTCATAGCAGTGATCACTGTAACTCTGGGAGCCCCAAAGCAATGATTACTGTCTCCTAGGGACCCCATAACAAATATCCCTTCTACTTAGGGCCCCTTATAGCAGAGATCACTGCTACTCTGGCCAATGTAGCAAGGATCACTGCCATTTAGGGCCTCTATAGCGGTTACTATTAATCAGGGTCCCCATAGTGAGGATCCCCATCACAGAGCTCCCATAGTATAGATCCCTGTTACAAAGGGACCCCATAGTAGAGATAATTGCTATTCAGGCCCCTATAGCAAAGATCACTATCAATAAAGAGACCCAAAGCAGAGATGACTGCCTAAACGGCAGTCATCTCTGCTTTGGGTCTCTATTGATAACAAATATCACTATCAATCAGGACTCCCATAGCAAAGATCCTTGTCTCACATTGACCGCATAGCAGAGATCATTGCTACTCCTACTCGGGCCCCTATACCACAGATCACTGATACTCCGGAACTGATAATCCCTCTGGCCCATGTAGTGAGGATTGCTGCCACTTTGGGCCTCCATAGCAGTTATCACTATCAACCAGGACCCCTGTAGTGGAGATCACTGTCACAAAGAATCTCCACTATGGAGATCCTGCTATACAGTTATCACTATTAATCAGGGTACCCATAGGATAGATCACTTTCACATGGCCCCATAATAGAGATCACTACCACTCAGGACCTCCCATATTGGAGATCACTGCCACTCTGGCCCATGCAGCAAGGATTACTGTCAAGTAGGGCCCTTTAGCAGGTAACATTGTCACTTAGGGCCACTTAAGGTTATCACTATCAATGAGGACCCCCATACCAGAGATCACTGTCACAGGGCCCCTATAACCGACATCACTGTCACAGACAAAATTATTTAGGACTGGTATTGCAGAAATAACTGCCACCTAGTGCCCTCATGGGAGACATGCCATAGCAAAGACCAATTGCATAGTGTACCCATGGCAGAGATAGCTAGCATTTATGGTCCCTATAATAGAGAATTTTGCCACTCAGGAACAACTTCAGATCACTTGCACTCAGGCATCTATAGAAAAGGAAGATAAATCACTCTCACTCAGAGTCCCTATAAGGAATGTGCCTTCCAATATGTTTAATCCATTAGAGCATATACATTTTCAAAATAAAACCGCTACTACCAAATGAACAAATATCAGAAAACAAAAAATATAGCCGCAAGCAGCAATAAAGGTGGCCAACCATTCAAGCCCGGTTATAGCACATGAGAAGGTATTGTAGTTAGAGAGATAAATAGCAGGACATGATTTCATGAATTATAAAAAAAAATCAAATTCAAAATGGCCGCCGACCTTGGTGACATTTGGATCCCATATTGTATTTGGCAGTTATGATGTTGAGTTATCACATGTTTAACATACTGCAATAGTGATAGAAATGCACGTTTATGCAATTTGATGCAATGTTAAAAGTGATTGGCTTGTTGCGGCCATATTGATTTTGGGATCGGACCTGTTTTTACAACCGTAGTAGAAGAGGTAGCTTTGGACATATGTGCAAAGTTTTGAATTATTATGATTGAATTCAGAGATTAAAGGAGAACTATGGGGTTAAGGCTTTTCCCCATAGTTCTCCTTAGGGTAACGGGAGGACACAAACTAGCGTCCTCCCGGCCCCCTAGGCTCAGTATCCCGCGAGCTGTAGTTCGCGGTATACTGAGACGCCACAGTATACCGCGAGCTGCTCGCGGTATACTGAGACGCCGCAGCTGAAGCGGATCCCAACAATTATGCCGGGATCCGACCAGCTGCGTGACTGACAGCTGGCTCTGCCTATCTAGAGGCAGAGCCAGCTGTACCAGCCCCCACCCCCGTTCGTTCCGACAGTCAGCGCTGGCGGAGGGGGGAATCCAGCCCTTCCCCTGTCACGGCAGAGAGCCGTGACAGGATCGAGAGGTGATCGAACGCCGGTATGTGTTCGCTCACCTCCCAATCTACTGAGCCGACCTGTGACAGTCTCATTGTCACAGGTCGGCTAGAACTATGAGGTGAGTGAAAAGCACTCACATCATAGTTCTCCTTTAAGTTGTTTGCAGAATATTGCGCAATCCAATATGGTTGCCAAACCATGAGGTCAAATGACTTGTAATGAACATATATGACTGTAAAGCTTAGCATTTCCTCACATAGCAATTTGTATACAATGGTACCTCGGTTCACGAACGCTTCTGTTCACGAACGATTCAGTTCACGAACAGGAAGTTCGTCAAAATTTTGCCTCCGTTCGCGAACTCTGCTTCGGGTGACGAAAACGACCGCGGCCTTCTTCGGCGCTCTGACACGTGGTCATGGCTTCCTGCACTCGCGGTCGCAGACAGGGCTGTGGACACTTACTGTGAAGCTTTTTTGTGTGCTTTGCAGCACAGTACTGTACATTACTGTATTCAATCCAGCATGGCTCCCAAGAAAGTGCAGAGCAAGCATGGTGGGAAAAAGAAAGTGCGGAGCGTTAATGAAGGTGACAAGAATGTGCAGAGCGTTAATGAAGGTGACAAGAATATGCAGAGCGTTAATGAAGGTGACAAGAATGTGCGGAGCATTAATAAAGGTCACAAGAATGTGCAGAGCGTTAATGAAGGTGACAAGAATGTGCAGAGCGTTAATGAAGGTGACAAGAATGTGCAGAGCAAGAATGGTGGCAAAAAGAAACTTGTGGTTAAAACATTTTTTTCATATGGTGCAGAGCGGATTAACCTGATTTACATTGAACCCTATGGGAAACTGTTATTCGGTTCGCGACCAATTCGGTTCGCGACCAGAATCGTGGAACCAATTCAGTTGTGAACCAAGGTACCACTGTAGCTTTAGCAGTTATGAAAAAACATGTTTTAAAATTGCCAGAAACAGGTTTGCTAAAACCAAGATGGCCGCCAGAACATGTGACCTATGACCTTTGTGTTGACAAAGATTAAACACAGCACAGTTCCCTACCATTGTGCCAAATTTAATGAGTTTTTACATAACGGTGCGGTTATAATTAGTATTTTTTTTAAAAAGAGCATCAAAATAATATATTTGTAGAATTTGACACAATTCAATATGGCCGCCGAACCATGTGATCAATTGACGTAATGATCAGTTCTGAGTAGAGATCACATCACATCATGACCTTACACAGCAATTTGTACATCTGTAGCTGTAATAGTTCCTGAGAAACAAATGTTTGAATAGGCAGCTGAATATAATCACCTAAAACAAGATGGCTACGGGGCAATGTGACCTATGACCTTTATGATGCAAATGATTAGGCATAGCACAGAGCTCTACCATTGGTCCAAGTGACATGAGTTTTGAGTAACAGTGCGCTTATTACAGGCTTTTGAATAAAAGGCCATAACAATAATAACACCATCTAAATATCATTGGCTTGCGGTGGCCATTTTGATTTTGGGACTGGCTCTATTTCTAATGAACAAAAGCTGCAACAGAGCACAGCATAACCTCACACAGCAAGTTGTACCTCTGTAGCTTTATCATATGTATAACATGTTTAACATACATCAATAGTGATTGAAATGCACGTTTATGCAATTTGATGCAATGTTAAAAGTGACAGGCTTGTGGCAGCCATGTTAATTTTGGGATCGGGCCTGGTTTTACAACCGTGGTAGAAGAGTTCGCCCTGAACATATCTGCAAAGTTTTGAATTAATCTGATACATGGTTTCAGAGTTTAAGTTGTTTGCAGAATATTGCACAATCCAAAATGGCTGCCAAACCATGTGGTCATATGGCTTGTAATGAACATATATGACTGGAGAGCCCAGCATATCCTCACATAGCAATTTGTATATCTGTAGTTTGAGCAGTTATAATAAAACAGATGTTTGAAAATTGTCAATTGGTTTGCTTACACCAAGATGGCCACCAGAGCATGTGACCTGTGACCTTCAGGGTGCCAAAGATGTTTGCAGTGTATTGCACAATCCAAAATGGCTGCCAAACCATGTGACCAATAGAGCTATAATGAACACCATGTGGCAACAGAGCACAGCATAAGCTCACATAGCAATTTGTACATCTGTAGTTTTAGCAGTTCTCGAGATGCAGGTTTCTGAATATTTGCAAAAATTGTCGCAAAAATCAAGATGGCTGCCACATCATGTGACCTATGACCTTTATATTGCAATAAGTTCTGCAGAGCATAGAGCTCTACCATTGTGCAAAGTTTCATGAGTTTTTGACTAACAGTGCTCTTATTACAGGCATTTGAAAAAGTGGCGGAATAATAATCTTAACAGATAATAATAATCAGCACAATAACAATAGGTGTCCTTGCAACTTCTTTGCTTGGCCACCTAATAATAATCTTACCAATAACAATAGGTGTCCTTGCAACTTCGTTGCTTGGCCACCTAAATATAGCTGCAAGCAGCAATAAAGGTGGCCAAGCATTAGAGTCGGTTATAGCGCATGAGAAGATATTGTAGTTAGATCAAAAGCAGGACATGATTTCATGAATTATAAAAAAATTCAAAATGGCCACCAACCTTGGTGACATTTAGAAGCCATATTGTAT